TCCAGGCGTCGGTACGGCCGGCCTACGCCCAAACCGGGCGTTCGATTTAATTTTTTATTTTTTATTTTTATTGTTATTTTTATTTTATTTTCTGATTTAAAATAAATATTTTTTTTTCTTAATTAAAATAAGTTAGTAAATTTAATATAATTTAGTTAATTCAATGAAATTATAATAATTTTATGTTTACAGGATGTCTAATTGGGTGAAAAAATTCGGACTGGGAAAAGGGAAAAGACCCCTGATTCGTCCTCCTGCAGATCCGGTGGAGGAGACTACTGCGGAACGGGAGGGAATGACACATAATAGAAATGTTACCAGTTCTAAACGTCGTGGGGAACGCACTGGTGCTTTTGTACCCCCACGTACGATGATTGAGGAGGAGACAGAGACAGAGGCCGAGCAGGAGATGGATGCACACATGGATGCATATATGCATCCGCAGGAGTACGAGTACGATCCACAACTATGGTTTCAACAGAAGTATCAGTTTCCGGTGCCGGATTTTCCATCCGATGACGATTACGAGGATGTTCCGACTCCGACTCCGACTCCTGTCCCGATGGGTGGTACTTTCGGTGGTTCTAATCCTGTCTCGAGGTCCCGCACCGCTCCGAGAAAAAAACTTCCTTCTCGACCTTGGATGTTGACTGGTGAGACACCCGGTGGACCTAAATACGCTCACTTGGTTCCGAGTTTTGGAGCACATATTGCCTACGACACTTGGGAGGGAAAGGCAATACTTATTAATATTAATAAATTTTGTTTATAATATTTACACTTGATTGTGGTATACTTATATATGAATATATCTTTAACAGGGTCGACATATGGTTAAATTACGGTCGCACGCGAAGTGTACATGGCCAGGCCCCGACGACGATGATTGTGTCTCACTACTGGAGAGTACGGGCTTGTATCACTTGCGTGATTGTTCGCTGCCTCAGCACAATAACCCACTAATAGAGGCTTTTATTGAGAGGTGGCAGCCAGACACCAACAGTTTTCACATGCCATTCGGTGAGATGACAATTACCCTCCACGACGTGCATTTCATAATGGGTTTGCGAGTTAGTGGAATTCGCCCTAACGTTTGGATGGATAAGGCCGACGCGATCCAGCTTGGTGCGAGAGCTTTCGGGGTCGACCCCGCACTTATGGAGCAGTGGTGGTATGGTGGCGGACCCCGGTTAGATGATTTGGATGTGAAGTATGGCGACAATTCTACATTTCCTTCCGCGTATCGGGTACGAGCATATATTGCATACTTGCTCGGAAAGTTGTTGTTCGTGGATAAGAGTGGATCGAAGGTCAGAGCAGATTTTTCCCACTGTTAGAGGAAATCAATCTGATTCGCGAGTATTCTTGGGGTTCGGCTACATTGGAATATGCTATATTTCAATAAATTACATGACAGTAAGTTAAGTATATATATTTAACCACTTATAAATAAATACCTGCTTGTCGATGTATTACCCAAATGGAAAATTAGATCCGTCCATGCTTTTACAAATTTCTCTTTGTATACTAGCCAAGTGTTGTTGTTGTTGTTGTTGTTGCTGTTGTTGTTGTTGTTGTTGCTGTTGGTGTTGTTGTTGTTGTTGTTGTTGTTGTTGTTGTTGTTGTTGTTGTTGTTGGTGCTGTTGTTGTTGTTGTTGCTGTTGTTGTTGTTGTTGTTGTTAATGGTCTTCATTTTCATGGCGCAAAAATGCGACTGCAACAGTAAAAATTTTCCCGACAGGAGTAACACCAACAATCTCCAACAAAGGCAATTTGTACTGATTGGTTTTGTAAGTACTGTCAAGTAGTAATACGTACGGAAACTTACTTAACAATTCGACAGATTGAGGGTGAGCCCACATCAAATCAGTAACTGCATGTGTTGTTTCATCAGTACGGAACCACTTGTAATAGTTATGCTCCTCAAGCAACCCAATCAAATGTTGCATCACTGTACGGTCACCCCTAGATAGTCTTTTCAATTTCGCCTTCTCATTGTATATTTGTTTCGAATAAGCATCGAGACCCAAACCATTTTGTCTCAAGTTAGCCAAAATCTTCTTGGGCGGCACATGACTTTGTGACAGATCACTAATGATCTTCGCCTCCTCCTGAGACAATGCACTCATCCCATGCCCGGACTTGTATATCGGAACATGATTATGCTTCCCGTATATTACTCTGACCTCCCATCTATCATCCCATCGTAGCTCTCTGACAATTTGAAAACCACAGTGTATTTTTTTGCTACCGGTCCTTCTCGGGCGCGCGTTAGGTTAGTTGATGGACATTCTCGTTTTCCCCTGTATAGGTCACAAGTCAAAAAAATCTTTTTTTTAGGACTGCTTCTTTTTACTATTTTCACAAAAAGACCTCTTGCAACGAACCTCACCCAAACCACTACCTCATCCTTCGAGTCAAACAACTGAGTAGTGGTAAAATAATCGGTATGATCAACTTCAATTGTAGACGTATCGTCCTGAAAAAAATGTAAAAAAATTGATTTAAAAAAAAAAAAAAAAAAGGGTTTAAAACCCAAAAGCCCAACTCGGGCGCCCGACGGTGCAGTGCAGGCCCATGTGGGGCGTGCG